GAAGAGGAAGACTTAAGGCCATTCTTATAACGCTTCTGGAGAGTAAGCTGCATCACGCTGATAACATGGTTCAGTCCTTTCTTCAGACTTTTAGTGAAATAAAATCAGCACATGTACTGATTTGTCCTAAGTTAAAAAGATGAACCTGGATATGTGGAAGATTTCTACAATGTTGTAAATAACCTTTTGCTGATTTTTTTTTTTTTTCCCATGTCAATAAAGGTGTTATAACCATTTGAATTAAAGACACTCATTGTTTTTACATAAGTGAAGAATGAACTTTATTTAAAAATAAAAAAAACCTTGGGTAAGCTCTACCACCACAGTAAACTTTGTCTGATTAGATGAATTCCAAATGGGGAAACAGTCCAGTGTGTAAAAGTCTGTTCAGTTAGTCAGAGCCACCAGAGCTTCCACCACGTTTCCCATGTGTTCCCTCAGGCTGCGCTCCGCCACAGACCGCGAAATCTCCATTTCTGACATCTGCACAACAAAAGATATACCAGTTTAATGTCAAGATTAAATTGTTTTTTTTTACCGTTTTAAATGTGACTCAAACTAAACCCTCTAAAGATCTTGCTAAACGGATCTTAAGGTCCACAGTTCTTTTAAATCATGATACTTGTGCTGAAAAATAGAGCCCTGGGGGTTTGAGTATCCTCAGTTTGAGGCTCTGACTCAGTAATGCCCCCTGTTGCTGCCAAAGCAGCAGAGGAAAAGATTAACCGCTAGAGGGGCACGTCAGACGCTTTTTACCCAAACCAAGGTGATAACTGCATGTTTGAACCAATAGGTTGATTTAACCAAAGCAGCACCCCATTGGTCCAGTTTATACAATCTATCTGTAAAGACAGTTGATATTTCAGAGCAAGTTATACTGTAAGGGCAGACAAGTGGTTGTTGAACTATGAGTTCAAAGCAAAGTGGCACCACAAATCTAGACCACAGCTGGATACGGGTGACAAAGATTTCATAATGCTATGGTTCCGAAACATCGTATCAAAGCATGTTCCAACTATAAAAAAAACATAAGATTATTTAGCCTTTTTATAATTAATTGAAAACCCTTTCATGTGGTGTCTTTTAAACCAACATTCTGAGCATCTGAAATGTGATGCTCTTAATTGGGAAAAGAAACCTTGTCTACTTACAATCAGCTCAACATCCTCCTTCTTGATGGTAACTTTCGCCAACTCTTTTTCCCTGAAAACAAAAAGAATTAATTTCTTGCTTATATATATATATATATATATTTATTCAGACTAACTTCAGGATACATGGCCCTCTAACTATGCAGGAAAATGATTTAAATTGGATTTGTTGGCACTAAACTTACCTTTCCTGTTTGGCTTTCTGTTCTCTGGATCTTCTGTCTCCGATCACAGACATTGCCTAAAAGGGAACCAGTTTGATTTCAGTGTTTTTTTACAATACAACTTAAAACCACTCTGCAATAACAGAAGTATGAGTTTTATATACAAAGATATACATTTTAGATTAAAGTGCCCAACCAATGTAACAAAACATGTATTTTTGACGTAATCTAGCTAAACTGGTTTATTTATAGCTAATACTTCTTTTACTCCTTTGTGTATATTGTTTTAAATTAACTTTGTTACCTGAATGGTGACTAGAGTAAATAAGGTCCACCTAGACACAAACTGAATACCTTTAAACAAGAGACTTTTCATAGCAGTGATAATTTATTCAATTTAAACGTGTCGTTAACTTGTGTGTATATATATGTATACACAT